TAAAAAATCCTTACATATAGTTTTTTATAAGTGTGCTCAACTATGTTTGTGTTTATACTGATGTGTAACACCCCAATTATTAGTGATTTCTGTATGTTTTTGTTCAAGATTTCATCAATGCAAGGATTATCTAATCCAACAAAATAGTTTCCGATTCATTTGACTGAAATAATTTTTTACAAATTTTATTTAAACTTAAGTTTTTTAATTCATTGAATTTTCATTGTAGAATTTTTTTTATACATATAATATTAATAAGTATTGACTCAAGACCAAGTTTATCAGTTGTAATTAATAGATTAAACATATCAATTCCAGCATAGTTTTTTAACTATGATTTTTTCGTTTTACAACTACATAGGTAAACTCAATAAGTTGGCCATGAATTGCTGGGCATAGTGTACTGGCTTATCGAATAAAATATCCATGCTAGTTTGCTTTGAAGGAGCTGCTGTTTTCTATCAATTTCCATTTAATTTTAAACCTCTCAATCTCGAAACAAATATAACCGTTAACTGTTATTTTTATATCATAAATGAGATAACAAAATATAAATGTATTGTTATGATGATGCATACAAGAATGTTTTTAAATAAAATAAAACATTCACAAAGATAGTGTCACCAATTATATAAATCTGTGATTATGTGGATAATTGTTAACTTATTTATAAGTTAATTACTTCTTACAAGTTATCGAATTTGATCTGTTTATATACAATTGATTCAATCGTAAATACTTTTATCGCAATATTGTGTTTCCTACACTCTTCAACATATTATTGTGCGAACATGGTATTATATACTAGAGGCCTGCACGTGTCATCATAATTGAGTGATTACCCAACCCGAACCCGTATAAATTTATAATTTGCAACCAGGATCCGACTTGTACATAAAAATTATAAAAATCTCAATCCGAACCCAACTTGTACAACTCGTTTTTTTATTATACAACAATGTAACACAATTTTATTAAAAAAATGTTTACAAGAATACTATCAATTGTTTTTGTATTTAAATTTGAGCGAAGCTCATTAATTGTAAGTCCAGCCACACTAAACTCTCTTTTACTAGTTGCACTGTAATATGGGATTAAAAGATAATATGCAGCAAGCCTTGAAAGTCTTGGATAAACATGTTAATGGTCTTTCCGCCATTCTAAAATATTAAAGTTATCATCTTTTTGTATTTTTGTTGATAAATACAAATCAACTCCATCTTCTTCATCATTATCATCATAATATTTACTAAAATCATCTAACTCTACATTTGAAGTTGAAATTGTAGTTGATAATATTACTTGCATAGAATCATCATCATCATCATCATCATCATCATCGTTACTGTCAGCACCAGCACCATATATATGTGTGTGTATTTGTACGTAATCTATGTTCATATAATATATATATATATATTATATATATATTATCATTAAAAAATTTTATCTGCAATTGCCAATTTAATTTCTAAATATGCCTAGCCTAACCTATTTATTTATTTTTTTTTATTTTTTTTTTTACAATTATTTAAATTCGGGTTGTAGATCACAACTCGAACACGACTCGAAGTTTAATATTAATATTAAGGCCAAGTCCACCAACCCAACCTCGACTTTCGGGTTCGGGTGGATTGGTTAAATGAATAATTAAATCATGTTACTAAAAATAGTAATGATAATCTCTCACACTGACATAGAGAAGAGTCTAAAATTTTGGTCGAGTTAGACCAAAGCTGACTTATCAAGTTTACCTGTCTGCGTATATAAAAATCTTTTATAAATAATTAATCAATAAATAAATAAACATTAAAATATTGATATTGACTTTCATAATAATGTAATATCCATTTTCTTTTATTGCATCAAACAAATACCTTTTAAAATATGAACAACGAACAAATTTTAGGACCAACTCTTTAACATTTAACAAATATTTTTACATCAAAGTTTTCTCATGAGCTTCAATAACATCAAACAATTTTTTTTGGTTTCTTGACAATTAATGGTTCACCATTCCATGATTTAATTACTTATTAGACTTGTATATTGGTGATGATATCATTCACACTATAAAAAACATAAAGGCGACTTTTGTTTAAAGGTAACTGGAACAATTGATTCGGATTACGCCTTGGATTAGTCGTAATTGGTAATGAATGTGTAAGTTTTCTAATAATTCAATAGTTGCTAATATTCTAAAGATTTTATTTCTTGAAAAGTTTATATAAAGTGTCACCCACACCCGAACATTAATAGTTACTAAT